TTTCCAAGCTATTTGAAAACACTATAATGACACTATTTTTTCAAAAATTGTCTGCGCCAGAGGCAATTTAAATGACGTTCTAAGCACTTTTACATAACATTTGAAGAAAAAAAAATTGCGGTTTTTTTTCGGCGCGCACTTCTCAAAATTAGAAAATGTTTAATGTTGGGCAGCCAAAAATGGATCTCGTAAAATTATACCATATTATACTCAAACTTCAAACCAGTATTTTAAATAAAGAGAAAAAATAGCTCAAAAAAAGTTCATTTCAACAAAGCATTTAAATTACATTCAATCAATCATTTCATTCTGATAAAAAACTTCGTAAAATGATACCCAAAGAGCATAAATTATAACATTTAAATTTGAATAACTCATGCTGTTTGAAAGTCGACGAAGCATACCCAAATTCGGTCGAGCACGGTCGAAACATGTCTTGCTTGGGTCGAGCACATTTGTTTCGGTCGACCATGGCCGAAATATGCCAAATTTGGTCGAGACGGTCGAAAGACACCAATTTTTGGTCGAGAGGGTCGAAACACACCAATTTTTGGCCGAGACGGTCGAATCATAAAGTGAGCACCTCGACCCGGGTCGTCCCCTCATTTCGCTATAAAAAAAAACACTATATAAATGTGGGGGCCCAACATCGCTGCTATCTCTGCGTTCATAGAAAAGACCCTACAATGCTGCTATCTCTATGTTCGTATGTTACTGGACGTAAAATCTCAATATGGTTCCATCTAGTCTGAACTGTTCTTAAATTTCATCATCTGAAAGCGTTTTTAGCAAGTCAAACTAAGGGTGGCGATGTATTGGAAGTTCCTATGCATGTTCGATGCAGGCTGGGCCTTGCATCACACTGAATAAAATTATCCGTATCGACATACATTCGTTGAAACAGAGAAACAATTAATTATCTAACATCTTCAGTATGACTAAACCGGCTCTAAACAAAAGAGCTGAAATCTTACTGGATCTTGGAAACTTAATAACTTCATTGACGCCGCGAAACTCAGCGGCAAACTCCATCAACGCCAAAAACTATTTCTTAAATAAATGTATTTTTCAAATAAAAATTTGTAATTTTCAATGAAGTTATTTTCTATATTGGTTTATATCTTTAATTTTTAAATGCATCGAGAATCGACCACTGAAGCTGAATTAAAATTATAATGATTTCTGCCCGCATCACCCACCCTTACTTGAAACTTTTTACAGAAACACCCGGGTGGAGGTCGTGAAGAAATTCAACAAATTGTGTTGCATAGTTACGTCATCCTGTATACTGTTGAAGGAATTAGCTGGGAAAAGTAATTATTAGATCAATACTCCCGTGCTCAATTCCTGTGTTGACTTCTGTAAAACAGTAATTCCGAATCAAGTGAAATGTCCTATATTTGTTCAAATAGCATCAATAATGGCAGGACATGATATTATTTCAAGTTTAGCAAATAAGCAAAAAAAATACTGAACTGATTTTTTTTGGTTATATGCCAACAGACTTAAGCTGAATTATAAAAAGGCGGTTGAAAAAATTGGTTAAGTACAGAAATTTAGTGCAATTATTTAAGAAAAAAATGATCAACGTTTATTGTTTACATGTCATGTTGCCCAAGTAGTGATGAAACTCGAAAAATATAGTGGAATTATCAGTTAACTAAGACGTTGTGTCTCAAGATCGCACCTTCTTATTTTTTTATAGCTTCGTAAAACTTATCATGGAGTATGGATGCTGTCCTCGTCTTAGGATGATGTAATTTCGCTACATTGAAGCCAATTTATGAGCGGGAGAAAAAAATCTTAAATTCATACACTTCAGAAGTCATAAAGCGAAGAGAGACGTCTGTATTTGAAATACATATTGTGAGTTGTTGAAGTTTGTCGTGCTCTCAATTAATCGGCTTAATATAGACTTGGCTTTGAACCATGTTTTTGTTACTGTTTGTGGACGCGATGTTGAAAAACACTCCTTGAGATTTAGAAGTGCCTATTTTTATAACTTTTTTTAAGGAAAATTGAAGTTCAGTCCTTTCTCAAAATTCAGTTTTCTAACTGAAGAACAATTTAAGAGTCCACCCATTCGCTATTTTTTACTTTGAAAACAAAATTCAAAAAACAATGAATTCACAGAAAAAAACACCAAGGATTCAAATTTAGTGTCAGAATAGCAAGTTTTTTAGTTGAAAACCAAGTTTTAAAATTCCAATTTGAGTAAATTGATGTTCATTTACTATTTTTTTCTCGCTTAATTTTGAACCTGTGCTACTATCATTTCTTTGACAGCTAAAAATTGTGATTGTGCAAAAAACGCCTCTTCACCTAAATGTCTCCAGAAATGATATCAGTAAGCAAAATGAAAACAAAAAAAAAACAGTTAATTTTGATTTTTTTTAAAAAAAAAACATTGTTTGCTTGTCATTTATTCACCCAGGCAAACCGTGTTGACTTCCACTCTTCGATTCGGCTCCACTCATTTTAGTTGTTGAGAGCCCAAAACATATTTGCTTTGCTGCACTCCTATCAAATGGTGGTTTTCTTGGGTCGTAAGAAGTTATTGTAAAAAAAATAATTAACTGTTTCAAAAGCTATTCCTTGAATAGTTTGCTGTGTGTCAAATTAGCAAATGCCATTTTTTGTGGCTTAAAGTTGAGTGTGATAAAACACAGGGGTCTACAGTAGGACCACTTTTGTATTTAAACGACATAAAGAATCGAGTGCTTCCAACACAACGCTCAATTATCTGGAAGCTTTGAAAACATTTGTGTAAGCACTAAAAATTCGTGCAATTATTTCAGAATAAACAATGATCAGATTTTGTCGTTTAAATTTCGTGATGCTTTGTGTAGTAAAGACTCTCAGAATGGTAGCAGAGAAGTGGAACTATTAGTGAACTAAATCATTTTGTCCCAAGATCGAAACTTCTCAATTAAAATAATAGCAAGGTAAAATCAATCATGCAGTGTAGTGCCCTTACTTATGGATGTGCTAATTTTGTTCATTGACACCATATTATTTGCTGCAGAAAAAAACCTCAACTTATTACACTTCAGAAGGCAAAGCGATACAAATTGATGAACTTTTCAGGCGAATGGAATTTTGACTGTATTTGAAACGAATGTGTATGAATTGTTGAATTTTCCTTGGACTCAATAAATTGGCTTCTCTCAGAGGTGGCTTTGAACGATAAATTTTTGTTTCAAAGTTTTGCGCGGAAGACTATGAGTTCTATAAACATAACCTTGAAACTTGCTTTCTGTAAATGCAACTTTGAAAAACACTCTCTGAGATTTAGAGGTGCCCATATTTACACTGTTTTCAGGAAAGTCTGTGTTCAGTCCTATCTGAAAATTCAGATTCCCTAACTCAGTAACAAGCAAAAAATTTGAATTTGAAACCAAGTTTTTGAGTTCCGCGTAATTCTAAAATGATGTTTTTCACCTGTTTTTCCTTCTCTCAAATAATTGTGATTGTGCAAAAAATCGTGATTGTGCAAAGTAGGCCTTGTTTAAGCAAAACATTGGAAAACAAAAAGAAACGCAAAACAACTCATCTTGGTAATTTTAAAATTTCAATTCAACTCGGGTTCACTGCGCGGTAGGCGTTGAGAGCTCAGTACAGATTTGCGTGGTTGTGCTTCTATCATATGATAGTTTTATTGAGTCCCTTTATGCAAAAAAAAATTAACAAAATCTTATTTTTCTTCTCCATAAAGTGTTGAAAATACATATTGAAATATGATAGGACAGGTTTGAAAATGGTTATTACTTCCGTTATCTGTTCATTCCGAGTCGTTTTCCATAAAGTGAGGTCCTGGGTTGACCATCCTACAAAAAATTACCCTGTCTTAGAACTTCTGGTAAGATTTGTAGGAAATTTCCGCTATCTAACATTTTTCTTATCAGAAAAGTGCCAGGATATTCACTTTGTCCCAAATTTCAAAACATAGCCAGAAATATTTTGAATGTGTTTCTATACCATAAAAATAGAAAAAAATCGATTTGGGATTTTTTCCAAATTTAAGCATGTAAGAATAATTAAAGAGTGATTATAATGTATGATTTTCAAACCAAAAAATCCAAAAAAAAAAATTTCTCTTTTTTTGTTTATTTATAGCCTAATTATGCTTAACTAGCAGTTTGAAATTTTTTTGGAGACAATAGAAATCAACTTTGACGAATAATTTCAAAGTTGGTCGGGTTCAAGTATCTATCGAAAACATTTCCAGTTTTAAGCAAAAATTGACTCTACAAAATTAGTGGTTTTTTTTCTGTAAACTCATGCAGCAAAACGAGTCGTTTGGCCTACGAGTTACCGTTATTGTACTCTGCTAGAACGGATCATTTTCAAATTGGTTTAAAAAATTTTAAATAAACATTCGAAATTTTTATAAAAAATATTTAAAGGAAAGTTCCTATATTACAGCTTTCTTGCAACAAAATTCATTGTCTTTCACATTTCTTATTTAAAAATTTTTTTTAATCTTTTAAGAGCCATAGAGCTAATTTGTAGGAAGTTGTAAAATTTTTATACGAAAAGTTCTAAGATTGCGACTTCTGGTCAACCCGGGTTGCTATTGTACAGTTTGTTGTTTTTTTTTCAAACTTCTTACTCTGAATCTGAAATGATGATACGGAGAAATCGTTTTTTTGTTCTTTCTTCTTTCTTAAGTTGATGATCGACATTTATTTGTTTCGATGGTAGAAAGAAAAATTAATTCAAAATAGATACAAAGTGAATTAATTTTTCTTTCTATTTTGAATTAATCTTTCTATTAATTTTTCTATTTTGAATTAATTTTTCTTTCTACCATCGAAACAAATAAATGTCGATCAGCAAAGTTCTAAGATTGCGACTTCTGGTCAACCCGGGTTGCTATTGTACAGTTTGTTGTTTTTTTTTCAAACTTCTTACTCTGAATCTGAAATGATGATACGGAGAAATCGTTTTTTTGTTCTTTCTTCTTTCTTAAGTTGATGATCGACATTTATTTGTTTCGATGGTAGAAAGAAAAATTAATTCAAAATAGATACAAAGTATGCAGGATAAAATAAGGCCGAGTCTGGTAGCACAACAATTGATGGAGGGTCCTTGTCAATGAAAGAGTCATAACGATCAGTTATTCCGGGTCCAGATTTTGACTGTCCTTTTCCCGATCTTCCCCTGCATGCAAAAGCAATGACTAAATCTCTTTGACCTTGATCACCATCGCAGTGTTTTATTGCAGTTGAAATGTCTGAAGCAAAATAGGTTCCATTTTCAAATTTAAAACTCAAATCAGACCCTAAGCTTTTATCTTTGATGTCTGATACGCTAACTTCAATAATTTCATTGATGCCTGAGTCTGTCAGGGGTTTTCTTAGCGGGTAGAAAAGAATAGTTTCGTTGACAGCTTTATTTGGTAAGATTTTTGATGTCCGCTCCAAGCCATTTTTCCTCAAGCAATAAATGTTCCATAGGTTGTGGCTTTCAATTCTTCGTACGGAGATGGAAGAAGCTTCTGGAATCATTGTCTTACAGTAGGAAGAAATTATAACGTAATCCCTGTCATGAATTGTAAGACCGATTGCGCGATCCAGTTTTTGATTGTCCCAATAACGAGGGATGAATCCCGACATTCTCTGGTCTAGTTCGAGCTCGACGCGTCTATCCGGACCCAGATCCAAACGTCTTCGGATCTCTCTGATTGTCCCGTTTTCAGTATTTATTTGGGATAAAGTCAAAAAATTCAACAAATAATTTGGTGAATTGTCCATGTTCAAATCGAGCAAGACAGATTGGCTTCGATGAGACTGATATTGAAGTTCAATATCAGACGATTTCTTTCTGCTCTCAATTCTTTTATCGCCTTTCTCTCCATATTCAATCCATTTCTCATTTTCTTTATAAACTAACTCGAAAAGCTCACTAAGAGCGTTCAAACAAGTTCCAGAGACCAAGTTTTCTTTCCAGTACCAGGCAAAGGCAGAAGCGGTGCTGTGTTCGTGCTTGTAGAATAATCTTTTGACTTCGTAGTTCTCAGGTGTAACTTTACAAAGTTCCCCGTAACCATCGATTGAAACTGTAAGCTTCAGTTTGTCGTTGGCAATCACCGTCTTTTCTGTCACATTGGGCAAGGAAAAGCCTTTCTCAAGTGTAGTTCCAATTGCTACACTAAAATGCTTCCATTTATTTGAGTTTTTTTCTTTCCACACCCACAAAAAATCAGCTGCTTTGTATCTATACATGGGACAACTAACGGAGTCGCATGGTTTGTTAGGGTGGTTGTCGCATATTGTTTGTTCAAATGGTTTTTCTTTTATTATTTTTGGTCTTCGACAGACCGGTTTGATGTAACCATTTGAGCTGATCGCCAAGGCTTTCATAGTTCCGTCTTGTTGCAAACCAAGTCTCAGAGTGTAATCGAGGCCTTCGCGATCCCCGTCAATAATGAATTTTATCTCAATAGGTCGCTGAGCGGTCAACCTTTGAAAATTCATTTCAATTAGAGAAGAGTCAATGGAAGCAATCTGGCTGTTTCCAAAAAGGGCCCCAAACTCCGACCACTCCTCAGGCGCGTGTTCCAGGTACCAAACCCAAATGTCATCAATCGCCAGTCTGGAAATCTGAACAGATCTTTCTTCCGTTCTCATTGTTTCAAAGTCAACGGTTAGTGGCTCCTGAGATCCTGGAATCATTTCCACTGATTTCGACCGATTTTTGGGATCAGCAAAACTCTCTTCCAATTCCTCGTTCGCTTTCGCATCAATTTGTTTCCATTCATCGTTAGATTCGAATTTGTATCTCCAAACGTATGGTGTTTTGCCTTTAGGATGCGTTTTATAACATGTGTCTCCGTGAGTACATGCGTTACGCAAGAAATGCTCACAAATTTGGTCTGTGACTACTTTTGAAGTAACTGGGGCACCGATTTCAGACCTAGAATTTCTAGTGAAATTTGCATTTTTTGGTCTTGCGCCGGACTTAGCTCTGATATTTTGGTTGGTTGGCGGAACTTTCTTTCTTTTTAACTGTACGTAGCCGATCGTAAGGTCCGTAATATCACCTTCGAGCCCATTCTTCCTTAGAATATTAGCATCTTTTGGACACACATTGTGGCTGTATTCACAGTTGTTTTCGTTTTTGCATTTCGATGCCAGCAAGTGCTTGCACATGTGAATAAACGGACACTTATCTCCTTTATTGCACCCTCGTGTCGAGTTGTAATGCGTGCACAAATCTGGTAATCGTATTTTTTCGTCCAGCTTTTCTTCCAAATTTACTATCAGATCTTTCCAGAGTTCATAATTATCCGGATCGTAGCCGGCTTTGTTTATCTTCAGGCGCTCCGAAGGCCAGACCTGGTGTGACCTTTTGCAGTTGGTCACAAAATCGCATCTACCAACTACCCAGTATTGACACAGGTGCAGATACCTGCAGATAGGGGCTTGGAATAGTGAATGCACATCTATATTTTAGAGAAAATCATTTAATCTAACTTTAAAAATCGATAATCAAATTGTTAGATAATTTTCTGGTTGTTTATGCCTTTTTTAATGTTCCGACGTAACGAAAGTAACGGACTATTTGTGCTCGGGTGGGTTTTTTTTCTTCAGACAAATTTCGACTGTTTAACAAGCCATTTTGGACCGAAGTTTTTGCTTTTTATATCATTCGAAAGCTATTGTTGTCTTGAGCTTAAATTTGAAAAAATATTTCACCTGTGATCATTTTTTGTAAAGTTACGGGGGTTTAAAGATTGTCAATTTGGCCAATTTGGGACAATTAACGCGCGATATATTTCGCGCTTATAACGCGTAAGTGGATATTTAATCAGTCTTAGAAATTGTTCCGAATTGGTTAAAGGAAGCTTATATGCTTAATAAATTATATGCTTAATTGATTGGGTAATACGAGCAAAATCTATCACTGTTAAAAATTTGTTAATAGGAGCGTGTGGGGATATGTTTTTACAAAACATTCTCAAGTTTTAGAGAAAAGAAAGTAATTTTATGTTATTACTTTTAAATTTTCCATGTTATTACTGCTCCATAGACCTTAAAAGACAGTCGGAACATTCAAGGCTTTGCCCTGATACGAGCAGTTTTGTTCAATTTTAAAATCGTTTATATCCGAAATCACTAAATCTGCATTCATTGCATTAGCTCTCCGAGCCGTCTGTCTGCTTGTTGTTAAAATTTGCGAAGCAATCCCTATACATAAGTTAACTGCTTGAAAATTCTAAGTCCTGAATGATCCGAGTGTTCTTTAAAATGCATTAAAAATTTTTCGTTAAAAAATTGATAAAATAGGGAAAAAAAGAACAAAAAGTCTGATATTTTTCTTTGTTTTTTGTTATTTTATATTAGAAAAGAACATTTAAAATGTTTGCGATTGTTAATACATTCACAAGACCAAATTGTTATTTCTTCAATTCTCTGCGCACGTTTCAGTAAAACGAAATACATCACGACTTAATTATCACAAATTTGCTTTTTTCAACCCTAACTTTACAAAAATGGTCACAGGTGAAATAGCAAAAAATAGACGGGTCATAAAAGAAAACAAGTTTTGGATCAATTTAACATCCCCCCGGGGCAGTAAAACAGAGCTGAAGTGCAACAGTGCCCAAAAAAATTAGTTCAACAGTGCGAAAACGAAAGTTTTTATCAACAGTACCAAAAATTGAGACAAATTTCATCATATTAAGTGCGGCAATCAAATATAAAACGGCAATCGTTTACAATCTTTATTGATACTATAAAATTTTGAGCAAAAAAAATTGCAACTTAGACGTTTTGGCTCCAAAATAATTGTTTAATTTGCAGTTGCAGACATTTTGACGCCAAAATCGGAGTGATTTTCTTTGGTGGAATCCCTCATAACACGAAGGACCGAATGCGCGAAAAAAAAGCGAAAAAATCCCTCATACGCGAAGGACCGAATGCGCAAAAGGACCAATTGGCACTGTTTAATGTCTGCAACTGCAAATTAAAATTTATTTTGGAGCCAAAACGTCTAAGTTGCAAATTTTGGCAACTGTTTAATGTCTGCAACTGCAAATTAAAATTTATTTTGGAGCCAAAACGTCTAAGTTGCAAATTTTGAGACGTCAGTAACCTAAAATTTTAAAAGAAAATTTGGAAAGGGCGTGAAAATCTGAAAGAAAAAAACATTACCAGAGACTAATTATTGACATTGGCCGAATATAAAAACGGCAAAAACATGCAAAATTTTCAAATTGCCACTGACCGCCGCCAAATTGGAACAAATTTTGTATTTCAAGGGTTTCGTTATGAAAGAAACAAAATATTGCTTCATTTAATTCATTCTAATTGAATGGCAATTGATTCTTTTTAAAAATTGACTTTCGGCTTATTTGTTTTCGGTCTTCCGTCCACGAGTTTTTCGCCCATTCGGTAGTTCGCGCCTGATAAAATCCCCCGTTTTTTGTTAATTAGCGCCATTGAAATCCCGCTCTTCAGAAAATGCGTTTAAATTATTCTGAAGCTTTCTCGCTTTTTTCGCCACTGCTGAACGCCCCCTCCCCTCCCTCTCCCCCAGATAGAGTGCGGTCTGTATTTAGACAACCACGTGTTCATACTCGTCAGTAAGCAGACAAAACTATATTACCCAATCAGAATCGAGATGAGAAAGCAAACTTACGAAATAGGTAATTATTAATTATTTATTGTTCCGACTTTCGAAGAAAACGGAATATTTATGCTCGGTGTGTTTTTTTTATTCAGTCAATTTTCACCGATCGGAATGATAACTTTCAACAAAAATTTTCTATATTTTCCAAGATATTGACTTCCTGAGTTCAAATGTAAAAAGAGATTTCCACCTCGGATTATTTTTTGTAAAGTTCTGCGGGTTTGAAAATTGCCAAATTTGCCATTATCTGGACTAAATCATGCGCGCTTTGAAAAGTTTATTCATAATGCTGAGAGCGTAATAGGAATTATTTATGCGTGGCGAATTATCCCTCACAAAATCGTTCCATTTTGAATTGAGGCTAGCTAATTGGTCGTATTAATTTCCAATTACTCAAAATTTTGCACTTTGATATTGTTCAAATTGTACAGGTTTTCAATATTTTCTTTTACCAAAAACTATTCGATATGAAATAAGGGACAGTCGGAACATTCAGGGCTTTGCCCTGATATACGAGCAGTTTTGTTTCTTCTTTGTCTCGATTCGGATTGGTTAATATAGTATTTGTCTGCTTACTCACGAGTCTGAATACGCGGTTGTCTAAATACTGCTACGTGACCCCCCAGATAGACTAACTTAAGATCTTCCACCCCAGCATTTAATTCGCAATAAATTTGCTATGCACTGCATGTAAAATGCGCTCGATTCTAATTGGCTGAAAATTACTAATTTAGAACCAAGTTAACATCCTCCTCCTCAAACGGTTTTGGGGGAGAGGAAGTTTAATTAGTCCCAAATTTCATATTATCAAAGTACATGAGACACCACAAAAACGAATGCATTGAAAAGTCGGATTATTTATTTAACAGGTTGTAGATCAATTAGATTGACAATTTGAGTAGCATCGACATTGAACCAAAAAAAAATAAAAAGCAAAAAACAAAATAAAATGGAAAGCAAACTATGAAAAAGTGAGAGAAGGTTTTAAATTAATGTTCCGACTTTCGTAACGAAAGTAACGGAATGTTTGTGCTCGGGGTTGGTTTTTTCTGCAGACAAATTTCGAATTTTTAACTAGCCGTTTTTGGCGGAATTTTTTTCATATCATTCAAAAGGTATTGTTGTCCTGAGCTTAAAATCAAAAAGATATTTCACCTGTGATCATTTTTTGTAAAATTATGGGGGTTTAAAGATTGCCATTTTGGCCAATTTGGGACAATTAACGCGCGATATATTTCGCTTCGCGCTATTAACGCGTCAGCGGATATTTAATCCGTCTTAGAAATCGTTCCAAATTGGTTGAAAGCTCATTTGTCATAATTGATTTGTTACAAGGAGCAAAATCTATCCTTTTGTACTTTATATGGCGTGTGGGGGATGATTTTCAAAAAAAGTTCAAATTTTAGAAATTAAATTGTTCATTTTATTTTATTACAATTAATTTTTTCATGTTATTACTGCTCCATAAAACTTAAAAGGCAGTCGGAACTTTCAGGGCTTCACCCTGATACGAGCAGTTTTGTTATTCCGACTTTCGATACGAAAGTAACGGAATATTTGTGCTCGGGGTGGGTTTTTTTTTCTTCAGACAAATTTCGACTTTTTAACTAGCCATTTTTGACGGAATTTTTTTATATCATTCGAAAGGTATTGTTGTCCTGAGCTTAAATTTGAAAAAATATTTCACCTGTGATTATTTTTTGTAAAGTTACGGGGGTTTAAAGATTTCCATTTCGGCCAATTTGGGACAATTAACAAGCGATATATTTCGCGCTATTAACGCGTAAGCGGAGAGTTAATCCGTCTTAGAAATCGTTCCAAATTGGTTAAAAAAAGCTTATTTGCCATAAATGGTTTGTTACAAGGAGCAAAATCTATCCTTTTGTACTTTATATGGCGTGTGGGCGATGATTTTAATTTAAAAATATTCACATTTTAGAAAAAAAAATTTGTTTTGTTTTATTTTATTGAATTTTTTAATGTTATTACTGCTGCATAAACCTTAAAAGGCAGTCGGAACATTCAAGGCTTTGCCCTGATACGAGAAGTCTTGTTTCGTTTTGCATTCAGTCATTGGACGAATCGAAATTAATTATTCCAATTTTGATCCGACTTTTCGGAGAAAGCTACGGAGTATTTGTGCTGGAAGTGGTTTTCTCTCCAGATTAATTTCAATTTTAGCTAGCCATTTTGAGCGGATTTTTTGTAGGACATGTACCCATTTTACGTTAAGTTATGGTGGATGTTTGAAGATTGCCAATTTACAACAACTCGCCTTGATATGAGCATTCATGCTGTTCTGACTTTCGAAGAAAAATCCTGAATAATTGTGTTCGGGTAGGGTTTTTTCTCCAGACACATTTCGACTTTCTTAACCTAGTCATTTTGAGAGAGCTTTTACATCATCTGAAAGGTATTGCTGCCTTGAGTTTAAAATTAAAAAGATATTTTGTACTTTGATTAGTTTTTGAAAAGGTACGGGGTTTCAGAATTACCAATTTGGCTAATTTGGTACAATTAACTAGCGAGATATTGCGTGCAATTAACGCGTAAACTGCGGTTTAATCGCTCATAAATTGCACCAATTGAATTGAGGCATGATACTTGGTGTATGAAAACGTCTAAACGCTAAGAACTATTCCAATATTTTTTTCTTTCGTTTGAAACTTTTTCAAAAAATTGGAGTTTCATGTAGCAAAAATGAAATTTTTTGGCTAACGAAGCAAAAAATAATTTAATTTATATACATTTTGGATGTTATACACTTGGTGCTATATAAATCAGCCGAAGTATAAAGCAGCCGAAGCATCAACCAGCCGAAAATACGTGTTATATAATAGTTGTTACAATTATGTAACAGTTACGAGAGTTATGCAAATTTCATTCATATGATGTAACTTTTCGTCTGGCTTATACACTCTGCGTATTTTCGATTGGTTTATACGTCGGCTGGTTTGTTTACTCTCATACACTTCTCAATTTGATATAGTTTTGTCTGTAATTGTCCAGGTAGTTTTAGCGTAAAAATTTATTGACTAAAAAAAATAAAAAATGGTCCGTTTTGGGGTAAAATTTGGCCCAAAGTTGGTTAAAAAATGAACCAAATAAAATTCAGCAAACTTTTTTTTTGTCATTTTTTACTTAATATCAACCCAATTTCAACCCAAACGCGTTTCAAGTTTTATATATCGTCTGGACAACTTGAATCAGCACTATGTCATTAATGGGTTTCGTTGAAATCCATTAATTTGTCCATTAATGGCCATTATAATTTTAAATACAGATTCATTTCCAAGCCCTTGCCTGCAGTTTGGACGGTTACAGCCTGATGCGTTGTTGTAAAAGGTGCATACGTACAGACCATCGCCTGATGATGCTCCCGATGATGAAACGACACTGCGAGACATTTGTTCAAGTGGCCGAAGAGTCGTAATTCAAGCAGAAACAGCAAAATGAGGGTCAGATTGTTTGCGTTTTAAGATCTAAGCAACCGTACCGATAAGTAACAAATTTAGATCAATGTCAAATTTAGAGGATATCTAAGTGCATCATAATTGGTTACGTAGCAGTATTTAGACAACCGCGTATTCAGACAGGTCAGTATTTAGACAAATACTGTTTTAACCAGTCAGAATCGAGACAAGGAAGAAATTAATAAATAATTGTTACTTATTTCGGATTATTTATGTCTTATCTCGATTCTGATTGGTTCATACAGTATTTGTCTTAATACTGACGAGGGTGAATGCGCGGTTGTCTAGATACGGTGCGTATTCATAGGTTCCAAAATGAAAAATCAGTCCCATAGGTTCCAAAATAAAAAAGCAGTCGCATAAGTTCCAAATCTTTCCAATTGGTCAAAAGACTAAATTAGCCGAGTCTCGGTTTAAGGTCGCCGGTGGGCGCGCTACGCGCGCATCGCCGCTTCGCGGCGATAACCGGCTCTAAATTTCGTATAGAGTCCTACCCTTTGGTGGCAAGCTCGCAACACGTTGGCGCGACTGCGGCGGTCACTATTCTGCAGCTTGAGTTTATGCTGGTTGAACAGTAAACAATCAATCCATAAATTCGTTGGCTCAAATTTCAACCAATCAGAATTCAAGAAGATAAATTTTGGAACTTATGCGACTGATTTTTTATTTTGGAACCTATGAATATTGGAACCTATGGGAATTCACCCTAAATACAGACCGCACTCCATCATAATTCTAGTTACGGAGTGCGGGCTGTATTAAGACAACCACGTTTTCCGTCAGTAAGCAGACGAATATTATATTAGCCAATAAAAATCGAGATGAGAAAGCAAACTTACGAATTAAACAAATATTAATTATTAATTTCTTCCTTGTCTCCATTCTAATTGGGTAAAATAGTATTTGTCTGCTTACTGACGAGTATGAATACGCGGTTGTCTACATACTGCTACGTAACCTACGTCACCATACATAAATAATTATTAATTATTCATTTCTTCCTTGTCTCGATTCTGATTGGTTACTACAGTATTTGTCTCAATACTGACGAGTCTGAATACGCGGTTGTCTAAACTAAGTTGCCGACAGGACTTCAAGCCGAAGGGACTTCACGCCGAAATTTAAACTTTTCAAGCACCTAAAATTACAATTTTTTTTATCTGTAAAACGTTGCTTTTCAAAAATTTAGGCAAGTTTAGTCCACAATAAGCGTTTTTCATGACAATGAATCACTTAGGATTGGCATTCGTTAATAATTTCAGACGGTTTTTGAAATGCATGATTTATAAGCAAGAAAATTGCCTTCAACCGTGTTTTATTTTCAACTTTCCTTAACATCATTTGGAGGTTTAAATTTTATGAAAAAGTCAATAACTACTGAAAAAGATCATAAAATAAGGAAATTCTTTTAAAAAGTTTTCAAATTAATCCTATTTCATCACTTAATAAGAAAATTAACGGCTTGAAGTCCCTAATTTTACAATTCGGCTTGAAGTCCCGTCGGCTTGATGTCCGGCACCCGTCTAAACACTGGTACGCAACCATACAGACCTTACTCAACAATTCGAAAAGCAAAATTTTTCAGTCATATTAGTTTATGTGAAGTGGAAAATTAAATTTATGAAAGCATCATAGGCTTTAAAAATCGGTTTAAATCGGTGCTAGGGATTTTAGCAGACCGGTTTTTTAGCAGACTCAGAACAATTATAAAGTGTGATAGCTAAATTCAAACGCGGCATTGGCGATTAGCGACCGCTTGCTCCGCTGCGCTTCAATTGAACACGAGTGTTATTGTGCGCGTAAACCTTTGTTTTACCGCTAATTTAGACTGCTGTGTTTTTGAAAGGATAATTTTGTTTACAAATTGCGAGCTAATTGTCTGAATTGGGGAAGCTTGGCCCCAGACTGAGCGTCTTTTTGAGTCTGTCAATCCATCATCCATTATTACGTTGGTCTGCTAAAAGACTCATTTTTCACTTTTTATGCTAAAAGATTGGTCTGCTAAACGATCGGTCCCCGTTTAAATCATAGTACCGTCCCAATACCGAGGTGCTAAGCGAATAAGATGAGATGCCATAATGCCGACGAGACATTAAGACGGCAAATGAGAGTTATTACATGTAAAAAGAGCAATTCGAATTAAAGCGGTTTAAATTTCTCAGAAATACAATGCGGAGAATTGTCGTCTTTTTAGCTGTCGTCTTATTGATTGGACAGCCGATCTCGAACCAGGCCCAGGTGACCGGCAAATAAGGCGACAGCCGTTAAATCGACAACCGTTTTTGATGGGATTTTTAAACGACAAAGTACATTTCTGATAAATTGACAACGCAAAATGATTGTTATAACACGCGATTTACATTTCGGAGAAATACACCACGCAAAATTATTGTTTTAAATGCATTTCTGAGAAATACAAAACAGGAACTTTATCAATTAAACACGCAATAACTATTACTTCCGTTTTCTGGTCAAAATGAGGCCGAAACAGAAAACATCGGCAGAAAAATGAAAAAACAACTCGGCTATATGATTCTGCTGAGCATGCGAAATTATAATAAAGCTGAAATGATGTTTCTCAGAAATGCTAAGTATGCGCATCTAGCTAATCTAATCTACTAACTAAAATAACCAATTCTCAGAAATGCAAAATAGGCATTGATGCAATAATCGACTTCTCTATATATTTTTTTCCTGAACAAGCTGTATTCATTTACCAAATTGAAACAAGACTGCTCGTATCAGGGCGAAGCCCTGAATGTTCCGACTGCCTTTTAAGGTTTATGGAGCAGTATTAACATTAAAAAATTCAATGAAAACAAAATGAAAAAAAAAATTCTAAAATTTGAATTTTTTTATGAAAATCATCCCCCCACACGCCATTTAAAGTACAAAAGGATAGATTTCGCTCCTTGTAACAAACCAATTATGACAAATAATTTGAACAATTTCTAAGACGGATTGGCTCTTTTCCAGTTCCCCCCCACCTTTCAAAATACCGAGTTTTATGTTTGTTTTAAGTGTTATTACGGCTAAATGCGTGATTTTACGCTGTAAAGTATGAAGAACAAATCTGTTCACAGTTGTCGTTTTGTTCACCACGCCAAATTTCATTGCATTATGACAACGTTAAATAAGCTTTTCAAAGTTGAATTTGAGAGGGGGGGGGGAAACTGGAAAAGAGCCGACGGATTAACTCTCCGCTTACGCGTTTATAGCGAGAAATATATCGCGCGTTAATTGTCCCAAATTGGCCAAAATGGCAAACTTTAAACCCCCGTAACTTTACGAAGAATGATCACAGGTGAAATATCTTTTCAAATTTGAGCTCAGGACAACAATACCTTTCGAATGATATAAAAAATTCCGTCAAAAATGGCTAGTTAAAAAGTCGAAATTTGTCTGAAGAAAAAAAAACCCACCCCGAGCACAAATATTCCGTCACTTTCGTATCGAAAGTCGGAACAATAAGTATCTCGGATCTACTTAACAATCTCCCACCCCCCCCCCTCCTTTCAAGAAAGGGGGGGGGGGAGATTCTTTAGTAGGTACAATAGGGGGGGATTGTTAAGTAGGTCCCCAGGGATCAACTTAACAATCTCCCCCCCCCTTCTTGAAAGGGGGGGGGGGGGGGGGGGTGGGGAGATTCTTTAGTAGGTACAATAGGGGGGGGATTGTTAAGTAGATCCAGTATCTCGAAAAGCGATAGTGAGTTTTTTTGTAATTAATGCAGAATAACTGAAAATATTTCATAGCGCAAACAAGCAATTTTTTCTTCAAAGCAGAATTTGTTCGGATATCGTTAACTATTTCCCCCCTTTCGCAAAAAGAAGGGGACCAAGTTAACATCCTCCCCCCTAACCACGTTTAGGGGGGAGGATGTTAACATGTTTCTAAGTTGGGAATTTTTACATGCAGCGCTTAGCAAATTTAATTTAATTTAAGCGCTGGGGTGGACTAGGTCAACTAGGTTCACTAGGTACAAAACTACATATGCATAACCCTTGAAATATTTTTTTACGGTTAGCCTTTTTTTACTAAACACCCTGAGAGGGGATAATGAAAAGACCCATTTGATCTACTTAAGGTCCCTCGTTTCATAGGACCCGAACTAAAAAATTGATCGTTTAAGTCCCAAAACTTTTTCATTTTTGAATTCTGATTGGCTGAAATATGAGCCAACAACAAGTAGATGTATTAATTGTTTATTGTTCAAGCCGCATGAAATCAAACGGCAGGATAAAGGGGTGCCGGACATCAAGCCGACGGGACTTCAAGCCGAATTGTAAAATTAGGGACTTCAAGCCGAATAATTCCTTATAAAGTCGTGAAATATGAACAATTTGAAAACTTTTTTGAACAATTTCTGAATTTCATTATCTTTCTTCACTAGTTATTGGCGTTTGCATATAATTTAAGCCTCCAAATGATGTCCCGGAAAGTTGAAAAGTAAAACATGGTTGAAGGCATTTTTCATGTTTATAATTTATGCATTTCAAAAACCGGCAGATGTTATTAACGGATGCGAATCACAAGTGGTGCATTGTCATGAATAACGCTTACTATGGACTAAACTTGCCAAAATTTTAGAAAAGCAACATTTTGCAGATGATAAAATAGCGTTTTGGGGTGCTTGTAAAGTTTTAATTTCGGCTTGAAGTCCCTTCGGCTTGAAGTCCCGTCGGCTTGTTGTCCTAGACCCAGGATAAAGACCGCCGCAGTCGCGTCAACGCGCTGTGAGCTTGTCAACAGAGTCTGTTGGCAAGCCGGTTATCGCCCATCAACGGTTATGGCCAATTGAAATAGTATGGGACTTTCAAAGATGGAATAGTTGAGCTCGGGGAGGTTTTTTTCTCGACTTTTTCGAGTTTTTAAATTATGACTTTTTAACTATTAATTTTTGACAATTTTTTAATACCAGACGAAAGGTGTCGTTGTACTGAACTTAAGTTCAAAAAGATGTTTCAAAAAGATGCGATAATTTTTTGATTAAGTTATGGGGGTTTAAAGAAAGCTAGGTAAATAAACGACAGGGGCTATTAAAATGACAAGACATTAAGACGACAAATAAGCTTTTACTACATGTGAAATGAGCAGTTCAAATTTAAGAGGTTAAAGTTTCTCAGAAACACAATTCCGCATAGTGTTGAAGTCCCACCAAAAGCGGTTGTCGTCCCAAAAGCTGTCGTCTTATTGACCGGACACCGGTTTAGATATTGCCAATTTGGTACTATTAACGCGTAAGCGGAGATGTTTTCCTAACCCAAACCCTAACCGTAATCACTCTTGGGAATTGTTCCAAATACAATTCTTAATGTATGTATTATACGGGGCCCAGGTAATTACACGACAAACAAATTAGACGTGACCAAAAAATGAACTAAGAGGTCGATGCAAAATTGCAAATATGAGAAATTAGACGTAACTATTGTTATCATTTCCAGAATTTGTTTATCGACTACAACTAACTGTCGTTCGAGCTTTTCTTTAACTGCAAATCAGCTTTTTCTTAATACTGCAATTATCACCTGAGGCAATTGTATAATTTATGCATTTCAAAATTGTTTGATAACATTCGGATTAACGTTTTATAAATCAATTGTGGTTATTATTTTGATTTGCAATGGGATTATTAACTTTTTTTGTAATTATGAAAACTTATTTTAAGCGAAATCGAAAACCCAATTGAATGTTGACATTTTTGAAGTGCATGTTTTATACAGAAAGGGTTGTCAAAAAAACATGCATAGGGGAATAGTTAACAGGGTTCAAAAGGGGGAATTGCTAACAAAATTCAAAATAATTAAAGTTTTAAAATTCAGGTTTTGTGCGTTTCGTCCGGAAAATGTAAATAAGCACGGTATTATCTAAAAACCATTTTACACTATATTGAAAATGTGGTAGCCAAAATTGAATTTTTGAAAATCTAATTAGAGGGGGTACATAGTTTACAAGATCCCTTTAAAAGTAAACACTAGTCCATTGACCTTCAAGGGTAATTAGAACATTCATTCTTGGGGTCTTTTTATTTTTTCCTCCTAGAAATCAATATTTCAACATCTTGAACTGAAACTAATTTGCCTCAAGCTGATTGGCGGGTTTTGACCCATCAAGTTTCAGCATTATTTCATAATTTTTTGTTCACAATTTTAAGTCGACATAAAAACAAGCCAAATTAGGCAAAAGTTATTTTGAAAACTATTAATCTTCGATAAAACAATTTGCAGAGTTTTTACCGGACCAGAAAAAAAACAGAACATAGCTGCAGGAAAAAATGCCAAATATTTGCTCAAAATTTGGCTTTGTTAGAAAACGTCTTAAAAAATGATCGCAACTGTGTTAACCAAATCAACCAGTGCTATCAGTATATTGTTCTCAGCATTTTGAGTTTCAATCCGAAGTGGCCTTCTCTTAGAGTATTTCGGTAAGGGTACGTATACTGTCTGATCGTCACGCTAAGTTTTAGTTTATGGATCCTGATTGGTTAGTCCTAAATACTTTACAGTAATAATTATCAAGGAATACAATTAGATATATAAAATTCTCGTTTTGAACTGGTTCCACCCATCCGAGCTTAGTAGTTTTTAAATCAAAGTTTTTCTGTGAAAGGATGAATGGAGTGTATTCTAGTCTCTTTGAGAAGACTTATTGAGGAGATTGGCAGTTGCTCGTGTCATTGAAATTCTTTTAGAGAGAGAGAGATAGATATTGAAGAGATTTGTAGATACTCAAAAGATCTTATCGAGGTTGCAGATTCGTATTAATGATGTGTTGATTTCATAAAGTAGAGCGAGACTCTGTGTATTCTCGACTATTCGACTTCTTTGAGTGAAGAGCCAAGTGAATAAGATCCTTATTTTGAATTCAATATGGAAATGGCCATTTTTGTTGGTCAAGCGATACCCTTGCGGCACTATTCGCTACATACTTTATATCCTGCGAGTGTTGAGACTGTGGCAAGCAAAACCAATAGGTTTGCCTTTTCAGAGTTGGAATGTCGTCGAGTTTCATCTCTTTTACTGCTCGTTTCTTTTGCTCCGTTAAAACTGTTACATTATATATGTCTGCACCTCTTAGTAGTTTCCGTTTTAGTTACGGTCTTCGCTATTTATTTTCGCAAAAGCGTTTAATTAATTCAGTTGTTTGTAAGAGTTGCTCACACTAGAGCTACTCTTGGCAAAAAAAGAGTGGGATGTGTCTTAAGTGTGCTTGTAGCGCGGTGAGTGGGGCCGACTAAAAAGCATGCTCAGGACGTCTATCACTGGTGAGTTTTTGAGCGTCTGTTTGAGTATAGTCTTCAATTGTGAGTAACTTTTTCATTCTTTTATATCAGGTGATTTTTCTATTGTCCTTTTGGTTGTGTCCTTTTCTTGAGAATATTTAGTTTCTAGTTTGTGTTATTTTGTAGTGTATTGGGGTTTTGTGTGTTCTTAATAAAATTTTGATTTGAGTTTCATAATATTATTTTATCCATTTTAATCCAGTTTAAACTGGTTTGAGTTTCTTAGGACTTTCTTGTCCTTGTTATTAGTGCGGTGCTATCAGTAAGCTGCATTGGTTTATTTAAGCTTACTTTTAATTCTTTCTTCTAAGCGAATTTAGGAAAAGTCTGAAACGTGTGAACGCGAGTTAAGCTTATTATCAACTGGTTTGTCAAACTCTAGAAACTGATTGATTCATAAAAATTGTAGTGAAAAGTTATACAAAAGCGTGGAAAAAAATGCGTGAAATGAGAGCAAGTCATGTGGCGAATTGGCGAGTTTATAAATTGAAGCGCACAAAAAAGGTTAGTTCTTATCTTAATTTATTACACATTTATTATTTTATTACATTGTATAGGAGTTTTACTGAATAAATTTTAGCAATTTACCGCTAAATTATAGACTTCACTTCATAATTGACAATTGAGAATAGTTTGCAATATTCACTGAAGAGCTTGACTAAAATCTGATTTTTTTTTGCTTTTTGATTCTTAGAGGTTATTGGTGAAATCTAGAAAAAGTTGGAGAGACACACAAGTTAAAAATGGTGAGTTTTGAGAAAAGTTTAACCTAGTCCTGGGTCGTTTGTGTAAAATTGGAGAGTATACACTTAAGACACTTAAGATTAAGAGGTTGGCTTGGGTTTTAAGATATCCAAGAAAAGCCTCGATATTCTGGATTTGAAAAAAGCTTTTGAAATAAAGATTTAAGGTTATAGTTCAAAGATCCAAGAGAAGCTTTGATGATCTGATTGAATAAATCAAATTAGGGCTTGGGAAATAAAAGCAAGGATAAGTTTTATCAAAAAAAAAAATTTGAATAGATTTAATGGTTGAAGAATATTTAAAGATCCAATAAAGGTCTTGATGATCTTGTGTTGCAATTAAATTAATCATTTAAACTTCTTGATTGTCTTAGGTGAAGAAGAACAATAACAGAAATTATCCTCTAGAAGCAAAAAGTCATCAATTATTTAAATTATATAACGATTCTTGAGATGTTGTACGAACTTTTTTTCTTCTATTTTTTTATTGAATTTATAATTTAAAACAATAATGTTCATAGTAGTAATTGCATATTTAGAATTTTGAGGTAAAAATATTTTTTTTGTGGGCAGTAGTTTATGTATACTATTAATTATTGGTAGTATCATAAATATATGGCTTAATGAATCAAATTTGCGGCTCTAATTATGGCAGTTAATATAGTATTTTAAAAAAGCTTACTGCACAAAGAGTTTTGAGTTTTCGTAATCGTCGTCTGCTTTTTTGGGGGTATTTGGTTTTTTGTCTTCGTTGTGACCTGGTTTCGTCTTTAGTATTGACTTAGCTTGATTAGGTTTATTGAGACGTGGAAATAATTTAACTCTATTTTCGATTTGATTTGACTTTGTTTTGACTTTTTTCTTCTAAATCTAGGTTTCTCTAAGTCTAAGTTAGTATAGGTCTGCTTGAGACTCGTTTGGTTGCACAAGATGAGTTTAGGTACTGGTTAGCCTTTTCATCGAGCAGTTTCGGATAGAGTAGACCGTCTAATCGTCACGCCATCTAATTTTCGGCCAGATAGATTCGTGCAACTTTTTAGTCTAATACCGATCGTAATCTTACTCTTATATTTCCTAGTCTCAATAGATTTAGTATATACTGGTATTTTTGCGAAGTTAGAGGAGAGGAAGAACAACTGCTTTCTGAGTTAAATTATATTTCTCTGGATGAAAATAAAAATTGTTTCAGCCTTAGGAATTATCATAAGTTTTAGTATTGGATCATGATTGGTTAGTTTTAAATGTTTTACAGTGATAATTATCAAGAAATACATTTAGATATATAAAACGCGTGTTTTGAACTAGTTCCAATTTATTCATTGAAAATTGCAACATCGCAAAATTATGAAACTTGGGCGGAATAAATAAAAATACCCCAGTCTTAATGATTATGGTGACTTGGACTGATTTTTCATTTTGAGAGCTAAGAATACGCACCCTATATAGTAGCAGAATTTCTTGGGCCTGGTCCGGAACATAATTCAGGTGAATTCCCATAAGTTCCAATATTCATAGGTTCCAAAATAAAAAATCTGTCGCATAAGTTCCAAAATTTATCTTCTTGAATCTGATTGGTTGAATTTTGAGCCAACCAATTTATGAATTGATTGTTTACTGTTCAACCGGCATAAACTCAAGCTGCAGAATAGTGACGGCCGCAGCCGCGCCAATGTGTTGCGAGCTTGCCACCAAAGGGTAGGACTCTATGCGAAATTTGGAGCTGGTTATCGCCGCGAAGCGGCGACGCGCGCGTAGCACGCCCACCGGCGACCTTAAACCGAGACTCGGCTAATTTAGTCTTTTGACCAATTGAAAAGATTTGGAAGTTATGCGACTGCTTTTTTTATTTTGAAACCTATGGGACTGATTGTTTATTTTGGAACCTATGAATACGCACCATAATTCAGTTTTGTGGTTTTCTTTTTCTGTAACTAGTAAATGTGAAATTTAATACATTAACGAAAGGCTCAAAGTGCAATTTGTAATTCTAACAACTACTGTTTATTTTCTTATGCAAGCGTGTTTATATTGGTATGCTTAATCTTTCAGTCGGTCGCTAGTTATTAAGCAGATTGGTCTATGAACAGAATTGGTATAAAAGCAGAAAAACAGTTAAGGATTTTATAAGCTAATCGGTAAATTAACTATAAGAATTGTCAGTATGACCAAAAAACGAAAATTTTTAGCATAGTTTGAGCAATTTAATCGAATTTTTTGACAAAAGTTCACAAAAAAATTGATAAAATTATGCAATTCAAACTTTATCTATTCATTTTCTTGGTAATATTGACAATTCTTAGAGTCATTTTATGAATTAGCCCGTATAAATCAATATGAATAAATATTTTTCTATTTTTCTGCTCTTGGATTCATTCTGCTCTTAGACATTTCTGCTTACTGCTCCGTCTTGGTTTCAGCCATCCCGAACAAAATGTGCATATAATATGACGCCTGATACCAACGACATTCCATATAGCAATATAGGTAAACTTCATCAGTCTGTTCAAATAAAACACGTTTGAGCGAATATTTAAAACAGAACGTTTTGTCACACAAACGAATCTTTGTTATAAATACGAGTGATGAAGTGTTACCTTAAAAATGCAAAGGAACGCATAAACTGCAATTGAGATAAAAACGTTACAGTTTTACAAAAACGGGTCTTTTTGTTCCGACTTTCGTAACGAAAGTAACGGAATATTTAAGCTCAGGGTGGTTTTTTTTCTTCAGACAAATTTCGACTTTTTAACTAGCCATTTTGACGGCATTTTTGTAATATCATTCAAAAAGTATTGTTGTTCTGAGCTTGAAATTATTCAGATATCTCACCTGTGATCACTGTTGGGGGTTTAAATGATGCTATTTCGGCCAATTCGGGACAATTAGACCGCGATACATTTCGCGCTATTAACGCAAAAGCGGAGCTTTAATCCGTCTTAGAAATCGTTTTAAACAGTTTGAAGTAAGCTTATTTGCCATTATTGGTTTGTTAGTAGGAGCAAAATCTATCACTTTATGTTTTAAATGGCGTGTGGGGACTGATTTTCACAACAAACCTCCAATTAAAAAAAATCAATTTTTCTTGTTATTACTGCTCCATAGACCTTAAAAGGCAGTCGGAACATTCAGGGCGTCGCCTTGATACGAGCAGTTTTATTGCTTATTCCGCCCATTTTTTAATTTTGCAATTTTGTTGTATTCAAAGTATAAATACAGAGAACAAAACACTGCTTCGAAACACAGACTGATTCGTATGGTTAAAAAAGCATTCATTTTCAATTTAACTCATTTCTAACAAGGTCGAGTTTTGAGCAGATGTTAAAACATATGGTTTAGGAATATAAGCAAGGATAAGCCTCGAAAAATCTTGTGTTGCAATTAAATTAATCATTTAAATTTATTGGTTATTTTAGGTGAAAAAGAACAATAACAGAAAGTATCCTCTAGAAGCAAGAAGTCAACAACTATTTAAATTATATGATGATTCTTAAGATGCTTTACAAATTTTTTTTCTATTTTTATTGAATTTATAATTTAAAACAATAATGTTCATACTAGTAATTACAGATTTAGAATTTTCAGGTAAAAATAATTTTTTCGTGAACAGTAGTTTATGCATACTATTAATTATTGGTAATATTAAGAATATACGACTTAATGAATCAAATTTGCGGCTCTAATTATGGCAGTTTATATAGTATTTTAAGAACGTTTACTGCACAAAAAGTTTTGAAATTCAGTAATCGTCGTCATTTGCTTTTTTGCAGGTATTTTGTTTTTCAACTTCGTTGTAACATGGTTTCGTTTTTAGTATTGTGTTGGATTAAACATTTTGAGACGTGAAAACAATCTAACTCTATTTTGAGACAAAATAAATTTTCATGGCGGATTCCAACGAAAATGGCGGAATTCGCGTTTTAAAAACCAAATCGCGGGTGTATTCAAACTCCATAGAACAACTACAGATGTTGTTCCGACTCTTTTAACGAAAGTAACGGAATATTTGGGCTCGGGGTTTTTTTCTATTCAGTTATTTCGACTTTTTATCTAGACATTTTTGACAAAATTTTTTAAAAATCATTCAAAAGGTATTGTTGTCCTGAGTTAAATATGAAAAAATATTTCCTCTATGATTGTTTTTTGTAAAGCTTGCTATACTAAATTGCTATTAATAGGAGCAAAACCTATCAATTTGTATTTTATATGGCGCGTGGGGATTGATCTTCACAACAAACCTCAAATTAAAAAGAAATTTTTTATTACAAAGATTTTTTTCTTTTTATTACTGCTCCGTAGACCTTAAAAGGCAGTCGGAACATACAAGACTTCGAGTAGTCTTGTTGCTTGTTCCGCTCAATATTCTTAATTTTGCACTTTCAAGGTATAAATAGAGAGAACAAAACGCTGATTCGAAACACAGACTGATTCGTTTGGTTAAAAAAGCAACCATTCCCATTTTAACCAATTTCTAACAAGGCATCTTTTTTCCTGTAGCAATTTTTTTATTTTGCTTTGGTTTGAGTAAAACTTAGCTGTTTATTTGAAACAATTATGAATAGTTTTCCAATTATTTGATAATTTCGTCTAGTTCGACAATTATAAATCGATTTAAAAATACGACAAAAAATTTTGAAACACTCTTGAAAATTGATTGGCTAGTTGAAAAACCGTCTTAAGTATGTTCTACTTTTTTATATTCCCTAAGATCAGTAAGAGGCTCAAAAACTATGGAAAAGCAAAATTCTTGTAAAGAAAGCTCATGAAATTGAGAAATTCTTCAAAATACTTTTTATATTGATCATATTTCATGACTTTTCGACAAAATATTCGGCTTGAAGTCTCTAGTTTTACGATTCGGCATGAAGTCACATCGGCTTGATGTCCGACACCCTTAAAAATTATCATTAAAAACAATGATTGATCTTTGTACAGCTTTTTGATAACAAAACTTTTATTTTGTCTATAGAGCTAGATAGCTTTTACCTCAAGAAAAAACTGTTTTAAGTTTTTAGAATTGTTTTCTGTCATTTTCCGACTTATCTTACCATTTGGATGCAAAAACCAGATGGTCTTTACATTTATACCCCCTCCCAATTTCAAGAAAGGGGGCAACTGTTAGGTAGGTTGAGTTATCCAAAATTTTGATCAATCAGAAAGCAGCAAAATTCGAACCTTACACATAACGTTAATGTACTGCTTTTATATATCGGGGTGGCACTTCTTTAGTAGATACCACAGTGAGGGCAACTTTTAAGTAGACTCAAATAAAGCCAGTATGGCCTCGCACAAAACAGTGGTTATTTGGCTTTACACTAAACAGTCCTCCACACAAAACAAACTTTATACACAAAAAATCACCTCTTGCATGTATAATTTTGAGCTAAAAATGTTTGTTTTAGCATGAAAATGTTTTTGCGGCAAATAAATGAATAAGTTTAAAAAAATTGATTTTCTGGGTTGCCTGGAACGGTACCTAGCAAGTGTCCAGGCCTAGTTTTTAAGGATTTTTTATCTTAGAATTCGTGGCAGGGATCACGAAAATGCAGGATCGCCGTGGTCTCTAATTTCCTGCTGGTAACTCTAAGGTATGTACATAAGTGAGTCTGGAAAACCTGGACATGAAAACGCGCCGTGGGTCGCGAAAGTCGCATCATGGGTCGCGCATCATCTGGATCGAGGACAAAACTGCATAGTCGCGCCGAAAGTTTGAGTCTGGTAAGTCTGGACATGAAGTCGCGCCGTATTTCACAATAACCGCGCTTTGGGTCGCAAAAAACGCAATGTGGGTCGCGCCGCATCCGGATCCAGACCCAAACTGTACAATCACGCCTAGAGTTTGAGTCTGGAAGCTCTGGATGCACAGTCTAGAATGTCTGGATTTGAGTCGCGACGTGGGTCGCACCGCATCCGGATCCAGACCCTAATTGCATAGACGCTCCGAGAGTTTGAGTTTGGAAAGTCTGGATATACAGTCTAGAAAGTCTGGATATGAGTCGCGATGTGGGTCGCACCGCTTCCGAATCCAGACCCAAATTGCACCGCCGCACCGAAAGTTTAAGTCTGGAATTTCTGGCGATGCAGAGTAGACAGTCTGGATTTGAGTCGCGACGTGGGTAGCACCGCATCCGAATCGAGACCTTAATTGCATAGTCGAGTCGAAAATCTAAGTCTGGAAAGTCTGGCTACTCAGTCTAGAAAGTCTGGATATAGGTCGCGACGTGAGTCGCCTTGCATCCGAATCCAGACCCAAATGGCACCGCCGCACCGAAAGTTTGAGTCTGGAATTTCTGGCGATGCAGAGTAGACAGTCTGGATTTGAGTCGCGACGTGGGTAGCACCGCATCCGAATCGAGACCTTAATTGCATAGTCGAGTCGAAAATCTAAGTCTGGAAAGTCTGGCTACTCCAAATTGCATAGACGCGCCGAGAGTTTCAGTCTTGAACGTCTGGACATAAAGTCCCGCCATGGGTTGCGCCGCATCTGGATCCAGACCCTAATTGCAAAGCCGCGCCGAGAGTTTGAATCTGGAAAGTCTGGATATTCAGGATAGAAAGTCTGGATATTCAGTCAGTCTAAAAAATCTGGATACGAGTCGCGCCGCATCCGGATCCAGACCCTAATTGCATAGCCGCGCCAAGAGTTTGAGTCTGGAAAGTCTGGATATTCAGTCTAGAAAGTCTGGATATGAGTCGCGATGTTGGTCGCACCTCATCCGGATTAACACCTTGAGTCTGGAAAGACTGGACATAATTCGTGAAAGTCTGAACGTGGGTCGCGAAAGACTGAAAATGGGTCGCAAATTTGGTCTGGTAAATCTGGACATAAAGTCACAAAAGTCTGGAAAGTGCGTGTCCGGACATTCGCGACCCATGTTCAGACTTTCGCGGTATGTCTGTCCAGACTTTCGCGACCCATGTCCAGAATTTTGCGACCAAATTTTGGTATGTAAAGACTATCGCGACCCACGGCGCGACTCATGTCAAGACTTTCCAGACTCAAACTCTCGGTGCGACTGTGCAATTTGGGTCTAAA